ACATTACTATCGAAAACTGATGACATGGATGCGTAGAGGAGTGGTGCTGGTTCTGGATTCTAATTACGCTTCAATATGTGTGCCAGGCTGGTTGTCATGAGATTTGGTGATCGAAAACTCTACTCTAGACAGGTGACAGAAACAGATTAGTGCCATACGTTGCTTCAGTACAGTACCAAACCAAATTAGAGTCAATGCCAGCTACCAACGCTTCACCCCTTGGTCTAAGCGGGATTATGCTACCTAGAAGTTGAAATACTGTCTTAGTCAAGTGATTCCCTGGTGTGATTATCACAGGGATTTTCGTCTTTCTTCTTGTATACAAGGGTTACCAATGGTTTGCATCACCCCATCATGACTATCTAAGATTCCTATACACTGCCATCGTCGGACAACTCTGGTGGCACTCCATTAGGTCGTGTCGCACTATTTCGTTGCAGACTAGTGACCGCGTTTGTAACTTCATTTCAGCTGGAGGGCCGATCCAAACATTCAATTCGGAATATTGCACGCTGGGCGAAAATGGCGCGGCTGTAGACCAGTTGAACTGGTCCACACAGTGTATTCCCATAGAACCAATTTTCTACGCTGAGTGGTAATTGAAACGCCGTTCTTCTCGGAGATTGTTTCATCTACCTAAATGAGCTTAAGTAGTTGTCTGGTATTAACACCTCCCAACCACGCCTTTACCATTTCTTGACCTCTTGTCACCTATCCCTCTTTATGGTCGATGTGATTTCTAATCAACTTGCGTTTGAGGAGGTTAAACGCCTTATCACTTCTGGAGTCCGGTGGGATCAGTTTTCTTGCCTCTGTCAGTCTGATATTCACTGACATTTGGTTTCAAGCTGGTAAGAGATTGTACCACCACATTTTTTACAGCTGACTAGATACTAATGTCACGCTTCCTCTAAGTAGGAATTAGTGTCAGCCTCAGAGAGGCTTCGAGTTACTTCTCCATTGATGAATAGAGACATTACCACCGTCTATGAGCCGTCACACAGTAACCAAGTATGTACAACTTTTCGGGTCAGACTCAGGATAACAGTGCTGAAACTGACGAGTCATATTTCGTCTACTCAAAGTTAATAACATTTAAATCGGATGCTCACTTCTAACTAAGAAATACATTAAGAGTAGCGTTGGAAAAAGATTCTTTCTTTTTCAACTACAATTTATACCTTCTTAACATTACACTATTTTAAATCGAGAGAAAAATTATATCATTAGTTGATTAGAAATGTAAGACAGGCCTACAACACCACCTCCTCGCATTAAAATGTAAAATATGTCAGAGTTAATACTTCCAAATATATATATATATATATATATATATATATATATATATAAGAAACAAATTTAGATAAATTAGTATTATACTTAAGACAGGTGATCACATAAGACGTCACTCGAGAAATATTGATTACAAGAGAAAATTTCGGATATTTGCACACGCCGTAGAATATGTAAACACGTACATGAATGACTGTGTGTATGTGTGCGTGCACGTGTGTGTCACTACAAAATAAGGCATACTACTTTCAAAACTATCTGATTTTATTTTTGTTAACTACCAGTGAATAGGAGAATAAGTAAGACAACTCGACCGAGTAATCAGTTGATTTTTGGAAATGCACAGCTATTATTCATTCACGACACTCAACAGCCTAATCTGACAACTGTCATAAGAAAAGCCAGCCTAATTAAGCCCCGTTGAAAACACGCCTAACATTGGATACTGACCTATAGGCGGCAACCTAGAGAAACAACTTTTAAGTGATATTGAATGGTGGTTCCATATCCTGTTGCGATGTCAGTGACTACAGAGGAAGCAGGAACAGTCGGCTCATAGTTTAGTACACACACACACACACACACACACACACAAAACACAGCGGCATTCAATTTTTTCAGACAAGCAGAACTGACAACCACATATATCAATCAGTTCTAACAATCAGCAAATAAACACCGGTGACACATAACAATTCAATGAATAACTCTATCCTTTAAGACTAACGAATATAATCGTAAGCATTTACGTAGATTGTTATATTTAACAGGAATGGAAATAATGCACGTTTTCAATATTCGATTGGTTTTAGGCATCACATAATGTAAAACTTTGCACAGATTGTCACACTTTACAAAGATGATAGGGAAGAAATACAAAGACACTGAGGTAGACGAAGATGTACGGAAGGAATAATGACTAAGTGGGGGAATAACTAGGATTTAATAGATCTCGGATATCAATCACAAAGAGCAGATCTGTCCGCAACAGTGAAAATAACAACTATGAGCCATGTCACCAGCGGTCAGTTTCCAGTCATTGCCTCTTAGCATGTAGGATACTTCAGTTAAACAACAGTCTACACTTCCTTAGATGGCTCAAACCAACCAACAGTCAAATACTTCATGGAAAGATGTCATGTATTATTTATTAGTGGTAACTCTTTTCCGATCCATTCCTACGTCAGCTAATATTGCTCAACAGGGAGCACAGGAACTTTGCATTATACGATGAGGGGCTTGGTACAATTAAAGTTATCAATACTGGATATGTTTAATTGGATATAAAAAAAACAAAGTTGTTATGTATAACTGAATGATGCTCTTACGCACATCTGTTTATACACACGACATTCTAACTTGCTTTCCATTGTTCCACTTCCTCCCAGTGTCGTAATTCTCAAACTAGTGTTGCGTCACTCCTACAACATGATTAAGGGTGAAGGACAGGGTAATAGTAATCCAAAAGTAAAGACACACACAGAGAAGTAGATCACTGCGACGGAAAGGAAGCAACACTTGTTCTGCATATACGCAAAATTGCTAAACACACACACACACACACTAGTGGGAAGCGTGACCAGTAGGGTACATACCAGGTTAGAGGTGAGGCAGTAACTCACTCATCGAGGAAGACATTGTGAAGTGGTCCCGCTATGTCATGAATTGGCAAAAGTTGGAATTCATGGGACATTGGGTCGGGTCTCAGTGGCTTAATAGTCTACGTGCTCGCCTTGTAACCAGAAGGTCCTGAGTTCAAATCCTGGCGCTGTGTGCATGCTGTTGAAGAGTCCCAAACTAGGACGACACGGCCGTCCAGTACTCCTAGGTTTTCCAATGATTCTCTAACTGATGTCAGCTCATGATGAAGTCCTCCAAACATACTATATAAAGCAAGTCGGGAAATTTTGAGATATATATATATATATATACTTAAATGTCAACTAATGACCGGCGAAACCTTTCAGACATCCTACCTGTCTACCTTCATTTGACCAAATGAAATTCTACACTAAAAGAAACAAAAACAGGGTTAGTACTACCAAAGCTACACATAAAGCAAGTTCTTAGCAGAATCACATACTTGATTTAAACTGTAATGTGACAACGATATGACGACAACAACGACAGAAAAGGTGATGATGAGGGGAGATTTCTTTGCTTGTGGAAGTGTATGTGTGTATGTGGTCATTACTTCCCCATTGTCCATACTGTGGAAGCTGATCCCTCCTAGGAGTATCAGAAGCAGAAGGCGCATTAGTACTGTGTGGATGCCGTGACCAAGAGACAACTACTCGAGATCGGTCAGGCAAGGCCTGTTTTTTTTTTTTTTAAAAAAATGATTTCTGGAGTTGTGTCCGGATTAAGATTCTACCATCAGCCACAAACTATCACAAGTTAAGCTAGGAAGGTACAATTTCGGTGGTCGAACTTCTCAACCCGCCTACCCAGAACGGAGAGACAGCACAGATGCTGTCTTCCTAGTCGTCTGCTATTACACATCCCTATTCATCATCGGTAGTGCGATTTATTCCAAAGATTTCAACGCAGCGTAAAAAACATTATACTATGATGGGGAGTGCTTTTCGCCTTTCTCAGATTGAGAAGTTGCAGAAACACTAGTTCCAGCCAGTGTGTGTAGCTGGTTCGAGTCACTGAGGCAGCCCAACCACGCCTTCAAGGTAGAATCGATTGGTCTGGACAACAGTAACCACGGTGGACGTTGGCAAGAGAACCAACCTATACGCGCATATTCAATTCGAAAGCAAACAAACAAACAAACGAAAGCAGATGATATTCAAGTGTTGGTTTGTAGGGATTTGATTGGTTTCAGGATTTTCATCATGAGCTGACATTAGTTAGAGAACCATTGGAAAACCTGGGAGTACTGGACAGCTGTTTCGTCCTAGTTTGGGACTCTTGTAACCAGAAGGTCCTGGGTTCGAATCCCGGTGGGTGCGTACTGATGAAGAGTCCCAAACTAGGACGAAACAGTTGTCCAGTACTCCCAGGTTTTCCAATGGTTCTCTAACTAATGTCAGCTCATGATGAAAATCCTGAAAGCAGATGACGTAGACACAATTGTCACAAGGGAACTGGAGAAGCTTCATAAAGTAGGAAAACACCATGACACAAACAACAAAAAAGGAGACGCTTTTCTATTGAAATTTTGGTTTACAAAGCAATGTCACAATGCAATATATATATATATAGCGAGACGATAAGCTCTTGAAAAATGGTGCAGGTGGGTGAAAATAACACAGTTCAATTTGAATTGTTCATTAGCAAAGAGGAATAGAAAGGTCAACAATATACATTAACTATTTATATATGTATATATGCGTATCTGTGTTTGTGTGTGTGTGTACAATTTAGCTTCTTTTGCAACAATACAATTTATTTTAACTACTTTGGAAAAAAAAGGGAAAGTGGAGATCAGTGGGTGGTGTAAGGAGTAGTAGTAGTAGTGAGTGGGTTAGGTTAGGACAGAGAGATAGATGGAGGTAAAGAGAGTAAGCGTGGAAAATACCCCTGCCGCTGTATTAAATCCACGTTAAAAAACACAAACACACACTTTTTACCTCAGAAATCTTATTATTTTCCTTCTTATATTGGAAAATACTGAAGGAGAATCGGGAGGAGAACAAGAAGCAAAAGAATAATCATAATAAGAATAATAATCACTGAACGAAGGCAATAACACACATGGAAAGGTCTCATTGTGCCTGTCTTAAAACATACATGGTATTTCTTTGCACAGTGGCAGTGTACGTACACAAATTATTCAACTTTTGCATATATATATATATATATATATATATCCGATGAATACAATATGTAAAAGAGAATAAGAGAAAGATAGCCACCGTTATCACAACAGGAATATTTTCAGCTAGTTTACAAAAAACATCTATATGTATATATCTATGAAATCCAAATTGGGCAGTATTCAAAACAGCGGTAGACCTGCTTTCTCACGACATTTCTGAACAGTAGCACGCAGCATAAACTGTCTACGGGATAATTCTCGTACTTTCTGAAAATGAAAAATAAGGAAAAAAAAAACAAAAACCCTCAGGTTATTTGTATGAAAAATAACTATTTGATTCATACTACACTGTGACAAACACAAATGAATAAATAAATAAATAAGAAGAATTTTTTATTGACAAAGCTAGGAGTAGCCAGTGTGTAAGCGGACCTTTGAGACAATGCGATAAGATTTCTCTGGCTTCAGTGGGTGTTTGCGATGCGACTGTATTCTCTGAGCAGAGAATTATCGGTTATTTTAATTGAGAAGCTTTCAAGGTGAATATGGTTAGCTGGTATGTATGAGATATTATGAGGACCTTGTAGACTACGAGCGAATCTAACTTAATGCGCTGGCTAATCTGTCCTAATCGCACGTCAACAACAACAACAATACCGCCGGGCACACAAGACAAAGAAAGAAGACTGGACGTTGATACGAGAGCTTTTACTGTCTCTAACAGCAGTCGAAAATGTTAAACAAATATTTCGTATTTATACAGTTAGGAAAATCAATGTCACATTTTAAAAATATTAACAAAACATGGGAATTCAGTAATTTAAATCAATAATCACGCAGATGCGGGAAATCAATGATTATGCAAGTGTGGGAAATAAATAATGAATATTAATGAATCACCTGAGTGTATATCATTAGCCGTGAGAATAATGTTCACAAGGAAAATGAAACCTTCGAAATTGTATACACCATCCAGCACACAGAGAACTAACTGACTGACTTAGTCTCAACATTGGACTACTATGCACAGAAGTGTAGTAGTTCAACTTACCACCACCCACAACCCACCCCCATGTGCAATAGAAAGGAAAAAAAGAGATTCAAAAGATCTATGATAAGCAGAAATCATTGTCTAGTGGATTACAAACAGTGAATGCATCCACGACACAGAGAATGATTTTGAGCCATGCTATCAGTATTCTAGAACCACCCCCCCTCCGCCAACCAGTAAGACAACCTACGACTTCGTATGTGGCCATTTCAAACTAACCGTCAAAGACTGCATGAACTGATGACAACAGGTTTTGGTTTGACCGCCTCTAACTCCTTTTCAACCAACCACCCAATCCGATGTCGGCTAACATTGTTCATCGAGGAAACCGATGGCTTGGAATGCTTAACACATGTGTCCCAGACGTCTCAATCCAGTGGTCACCTACACAACCTTACTGACTGACTTGACCTCTTTACCTAGCACTCTCTACGCCCAGTCTCAGTATTGTTTTCTCCATACTATACAACTTAACACGTGAACATCTGTGGGAAAAGACAGCCAGTTTTTCCCACATCTTCCATGTTCAATGGCCAGAGCGGAGAACACAACCCCCACACATCACATTACCGAATAGTGTTGGCCTTCATTTTAATCGACACAAAATACCTTTTTCATCGAGACAATTCTAGTATCTTGTCTACCAATTAACACACACACACACACCTTACTGGGCTACACAGTTTCTCTTGATTTCTTCTCCTAAAATAAAACGTGTGTAAAAAAAGGTGCACAACACTACTACTCCATGCTGACACTGCTTATTCAGCTCGTCAAACAGAAATTCTATAGGGCTTATTTGCGAAATAAATCAATTATTAAAACCAATTAAGGAATAATGCATTGAACAGAAAAATTCAATGATCTACGCAGGCATATGCAACTGTGTATATATTGTAAAATGTGTTTTAGTCAGACTTATCCATCTGTGAGTCAAAAGTACATACAGACATTAAACAGGCATACACACACAATCCAATCCAAGGTTACCACCACCACCCCGCAACTTTCAGACATATACAAAAGCCATATTCAGTCAAAAAATTGAGATATACACATAACAATACTAATAGCAATAGAAATACTACTACTACTAATAATAATAATAATAATGATAATAATTTGCTTTATTGCAAAACAGTATTTATGAGACATCGTGGAATGCTCAACATTTGGCACAATATCGCATCTAATTCACCCAACAACAATATATATATATATATATATATTCGTATACATGGTATAGGTAACCGAAATTGATTATACCAATTTTTTTGGCGTTATCAGCAACAATAAAGTCAGGATGTGCACAAAGTGTATAATAATTATAATAATAATAATAATGTTAATAGTGAAACAATTAGTCCCTTTGATAAATTTGAATAAGGCATTAAGAAGACAAATTTCGCGAGATGATATCATTTCGTAGTTTCTTTACAACCGCTTTACAACTAACATGGTTAACAATAATAAAATAAAGTTCATGACAATTACTCAGTTAAATAAAAACAAAAGTACATACTAATGACCAATCATATTTATATAGGTCAAGTAGTCCAGGGTAGGCGAAGATTGAAGTCTATTGATTTTTGTACACACAGTTTAGGCTGTATGTGATTAATCCAAAGTGCTTCCATCACCTTCAATAACCTTGAATTAGAGTTATGTGAAATAATTGTAAAACAGTCATTAATATTTATTTTGTGACCTGACATTAATAAGTGTTTTGCAATGGATGATGCTGGATTTCTATTCAGATTACTGGCATTGGGATTTTCTATGTGATTTAGTAGCCATTTTGGAACATGTTCTTTCCGACGACATTGGAACATTCTGTTGGTTCTACCTATATAGGTGTCACCGCAGCTGCAGGTGAACTTGTAGATACAGTTTGAAGTAGAGTCCACAGAATTTCGTCCTTTAATCGTAGGTACAGGGATTGAAAATGTTCGGCAAGTGAGGAACAGAGATGCGGCGTAGAATGTGCGTTTGATGGCTGACCGGAGTCTTTGAGCTGTCAATTGCATAATCTGATCACCCTTGAATGGTAGGTTAATAAAGATAGCTTTCTTTGGTACCGAAGCTGTCTTTTCAAGATGTGGTCTTTCTTTACTGTGACAAGTGATAAAGTTTTCCGGATAACCATTAGCTAATAAAACTGAATGTATATGTCGAAACTCCTCCATCACTGTGTCACTCGTGCATATTTTTCGGGCCCTTGAAAACAAACATTTCACTAGGGAACGTTTATACTGGATAGGAACAAAACTGGTAAAATGAAGATATTGTCCACTCCACGTTTGTTTACGAAAAATAGATCTCTGAACCGTACCATCATCTCTCCTGGTCATTGTAATCTTCGCCTACCCTGGACTACTTGACCTATATAAATATGATTGGTCATTAGTATGTACTTTTGTTTTTATTTAACTGAGTAATTGTCATGAACTTTATTTTATTATTGTTAACCATGTTAGTTGTAAAGCGGTTGTAAAGAAACTACGAAATGATATCATCTCGCGAAATTTGTCTTCTTAATGCCTTATTCAAATAATGTTAATAACCAAAATTATGAGATAACTGAAATAGCTCTACCGTAAATTACAAATGGTAGAAGAGATCAAAAAGAGTCATCCATTTTGCTAAGAGTCAAAAGTTTCACGCTTAACACTATGACAATCACATAGAACGCTGGTGGGCCAAATATGGTATGGTTGAGTGTTCTTGTACTTAGTTGTGCGAGCATATAATCTTTTATAATAATGATTTCTAGTCCTACCTGATGAGATGCAAGAGTGATGGCAGAATTGTGTGCATAGAGAGGCGGCGAATGATCAGAGTTGGTCGGTCGGTTTTCGACATAGAACTTTGCACCGATGTGCGGCAGTTCAAGTCGCCACAGTCCATGTAGCACACAGAGCAAGAGTAGAAAGTAGGAGAAATGCATAATATAGACAGTAAACAGAGGTGTGAGACAAAGGTATAGTAATAACGAAGAACAAAACAGTTTCGTTGGAAATCATAAGTCACAAGGAGTGGATGCATCTGCACCAGCCATTGACAACGATTTTGAGCCATGTCACCAATTGTTTCCAACCATTGGTTTTTACCGTCCCGAGGACCCCAACCAGGAAGTCTACACCTTCCTACGTGGCTTAGACTAACTGTTGTGGATTTCATTGACTGGTGCCATGTTTTCATTTGACCACCGCTAGCTCTTTTCCAGCCTGGACCTATATCAGCTAACATTGCCCATTGTCGAGGAAGGTGATGACTAGGCATGCATACGTAACACATGTCCTAACCATCTCAGTCGATGTAATTTCACAGTCTCGTCGACTGATTTCCCCGCTTTACCTAGCACTCGACGCCTAACCCCAATATTGCTCACCTTATTATACCACTTCACGCGGGAGATAGAACGCAAACACCTATGATCGAAGACAGCTAATCTCTTCATGTCTTCTGCTCTCAATGGCCAGGTCTCACAGCCATAAAGGAGGACGGAGCGGACTGCTGATCGGAGTCACACAATATGGTATTTGTCGACTGAAGTAGTATGGCGATGATTTAGTGAAGGCACACCACTTTTGCTGTACTGACAACTTTTAATACCCTTTTCAATATGATATGGTCCTTTCTCAGTAGCCCAGGAAAGACTAATGAGGAGCAATAGAGAGAAAAGTAGGTACAAGGCAAGAGTAGACAAATTGTATAAAAGTAGAGGTTGATTGATTCGTGATTATCTTAACTGTTTAGTGTACAAGGTTAGACGGAACATTTTCCGAGACATCGACAAGATATGAGATGACCAAGAAAGGTCAGAGGGAAGAACTATTTCCAAGGTATTCTATGCTTGACTTAGTTTTCATTTCACCGCCCTCTACACTACAAAAGCATCTTATGAAAGAACAAGCTCGTGTAGATCACGTTTGTGCCTGAAGATAAACTTGACTGTCTGACATGTGGAGGAAGTTAACTTAAGACCATTAAACTTGGACCACTGGCTCACAAAAATAGCTGGCGAAAAAACCTATTAAGTTTGGGACAGTCAGCTCAGGATGTAACTGGCAACGAGACAATCAGATCATCAGCATATACAATGGAGTTAATTTCTTCCGAAATAGGCAAGTCATGCGTAAGAAGAAAGAAAAGAAGGAGAGGAGACAGAACATCACTTTGAGGGGCATCCGCTTCAGTAAGCAAGGCAGTGAAAGATTTACTTTTATATAACGTATCATGCATTCTGTTCGAGAAATTGTATGAATATGTGTAGTAAGGCGATACAAGATGCAACGCTTTATTACATGTGCCAGATGGTTTTCTTGCACAGTTTGAATCATGTTGACTTCTACATGAGAAGGAGGAGTCTTCACACTAAACTGATTGCAGATAATGAATAATAGTTTTGCAGGACTATAACTCATACCTACTATCCAACGGACTGGGAAATCACTAGTTTTAGGTAGTACTCAGCCCACTTCAGAGAAGCTTGTACTGTTTTCGGTTGACTGTATCACTGAGTTACACGGGGTATATATATATATATATATATATATATATATATATATATTGATTACAGCTTGATGCCACACCGTATTTTCAGTACAAGTGTGGAATTTTCAGCAAGGATATCGGTAGCCCAAATTTTGCAGGCCGACCATATATATCGGGTGTGCGTCGGCAGGGGATCGAACTCCGGACCATGTGCATGGTCGGCGAGAGTCCTAACCACTGTGCCGCCGACGCACGATTGACAGATATACGTCTGCTTTTCGAGATGAATAAATAAAGAGAGAATATGTGTGTTGCCTGTCTGTCTGGATTCAACATAGGACTTGGCACGAAGTGCAGCAGTTCGAGTTGCCACGTTCCAAATAGCATACAAAGGTAGACAAGAAGATGAGTGAAGAGAATCAATAGAGTTTTGACAAGTATAAGAGTGAAACAGAATGAGTAATGGTAGAAAGGAATATGAAAGATTATTATTATTATTGTTTCCTTTAATTCCTAGAGGAACATAGGACTTCAGCCGTGCGTCTCCATTGCGTTCGCTTCTCTGCTAGAGTCTTCAACTGGCTCCAAGTCTGCCTAAACGTTTCCATCTCCTCTTCACATGACCTCCTCCAAGTCACCCACCCTCGCAATGACGACCAACTAATTCGCCGCTTCCCTTTCGGCCAGGTTCCACTCGAGCAATGGCTTGTCTAGTGATGTCACTTGATGGTTTGTTTCCTCAGAGTATGGCCAGCCAATCCATCTCCATTTCTTCCTGCCTATTTGTTTCACAATCGGTTCCTGCCGGGTTGGTTATCTCCCAGAGATCTCTGTTGCTGATCTTTCCTGGACGGCCATCTGATCTTGAGTATTGAGCGAAGACAACTGTTAATGAAGGTCTGTAGTTTGTTCGAGATGTTCTTTATGATGCGCAGTGCAAGTCTCTGATCCGTATAGAGTAGCACTGACTGACTTCACATTGGAGTTGAAAATCCGGATCTTATTTTTGATGCTGAGTGTTGTTGACCTCCACACAGACTTGAGAGTAGTGAAAGCTTGTCTTGCTTTTCCGATTCTTGCTTTGATATCCTCGTCAGTTCCGCCTGTAGATGAAACGATGCTTCTCAGGTCGGTAGGTAAAAGAGATTGTTTCTTTCAGGTTCCTTCCATTTATGCTGATCATTGTCTGTTGTTGTTGTTGTTGTTCTTGTCCAGGAATCTTCATCACCTCTGTTTTCTCTATGTTCACCTGAAGTCCTATCTTCTCTGGATGCTTCTTCTGCCAACTTGTTGCTTTGCACTTGCATATCTTCCAGTTTGTGGGAAATCAGGCATATATCATCGGCGAAGTCCAGATCCTCCAAGTTTTTTGTGTGAGTCCATTTTATGCCTGTTTCCTCATTGCCCGTTGTTTGTCGCATTATCCAGTCTACTGCAATCAGGAAAATCATTGGCGATAGTAGGCAGCCAGCTTGTCTTACTCCTGTCCTCACTTCGAAGGATTCCGTAAGTTTCCCGTTTTGGATTACTTGGCATGCAGCATTGTCGTACAGCTGTGGGATGAGATGCATAATTGTCGGTGGCATCCCGTAGTAGCGAAGTAGTTGCCAAAGAACCTCTCGATCGACGCTGTCGAATGCCTTTTCGAAGTCGATGAAGTTGAGATAGAGAGGTGACTGCCATTTCACACTTTGTTCAATGGTGATCCGTAATGTGGCGATCTGATCAATGCATGACTTGTTTCTCCTGATTACGGAGACTGAATACATCTGCACCACTGACAACGATTTTGGGCCATGTCACCTCTTCTCTCCAGCCATTGATTCTTAGAGTCCCGAGGGCGGGTCCCAACCCGGAAGTCTGCATCTCCCTACCTGACTCAGTTTAACTGTCAGGGATTTCATGGATTGATGCTATGTTTTTGTTTGGCCACCACTTACTCTTTTCCCACCTGCACCTATATCAGCTAGTAATGCCCGTCGGGGTAGGCGATGGTTAGGCATGCGCAGCCCGTGACCTAGCCATCTCAATCTATGTAACTTTAAAGCCTCGTCGATTGATTTTCCTTCTTTGCCCAACACTCTACGCCTGACATCAAGGAATAATAATAACAATAACAACTGTATTGTCTATAAATTATTAGTTATTAATGCCAACTCACCTTCAAGTATACTTCTACATCCAATACATTTTTACCCATTGCTTCACCAAGATAGTAAATAGCATCTTCAATTGCTTGCTCTTCAGCGAATGAAACCACCAATTGACGATAGAGTGGTGCAGTTGTATCCACAGCTTCATCGACAACAAAGTTGCAGTCAGATTTTCGTAATTTCTCTGATGTCTCTTCTAAATCTTTAGTTTTTCTTTTCAATGACTCAATCTCTGCATTCACACGTTCCTAAATGTGATGGGGATTGGAAAAGAAAAGAAAAGAAAGGAAAGAAAATGAAAGGAAAACAACGTAAACACTGTTGTTGTACTGGAACACTATTTATCTTTTTTTTTGTTCTCATCATATGGTGTTATAACAAACAACACGCTGGCTAGTAATAACGTAGGCACAAATAAAAGTGCAAAGAAGTAGATAAAAACAATAATAGTAATAATAATTATAAGGATAGTGTTTATTGTATTTTAATAGTCTGCATGACTGTGAGTTGTCATGGTTACTAAAATACACAGTCTCCATCGTACAGGGCGATTGTCACGGTTATACTTAAGTGAAGACAGTCGATCGACTGTGTACTTTTTCTAATATAAGCGCCAAGGTCGTATAACGGCAAATATTTACTTTAAGATAGATAATGACGATATGGAACATAAACCTGCTCAGTGACAAAAACAATCGCTGATTACAAGATGATGCAAGATGGTGTGTTGTTCATGAGCATTACCAATGAAATTTGAAATCAATCACCTGAAACTCTAGGCGAAACAGATTTAAGGTGTGCACTGTTTATGCTTGTTAGGCATAGAGCACACTTCGAATCTTTGGATGATCTAGTCTGAAAAAGGAAAGAAACAGAGGGAGATAACTTTTAGATGAGAAGAATAAGATCAATCCAGTTATGTGAGAACATCTAAGACAAAAAGAAGGAAAACTGATAAGCCTGTAAGATGAAAATTCCATCTTCATCTATACAAAACCGCAGGATTCTCCACACACACACACCTTTTAAGTACTACACACAACTGACTGTTTCCGATGTATGACATAGGAAAACACGCTATCACGCTAAAGGAAAAGATAACAGGCTGCATTTGGCGCTAAACCATCTTATAAACTGCAATGAAACTGGTTAAACACTACAAATTTTGATCAGAGGAAATGCAGATGGATCGGAGACCGTCGAAAGATATCGCGCGCCAGACCTTCGTGTGGAACCCGAAATGGAGACGACAAATGGGACATCCGAGGGCGATATGGAGGAGATGAGAGACTATGGGCAATTGCGGGGTCAGCCAAAGACGACTACAGGGAACTGGGCAAAATGTAAATGTGCTGTTGAAGCCCTATATCTCAATCATAGGCCAAGGGAACAATAACAATAATGATAATAATAATAACATTGATAATACATTTGCTAGGAACGAGACAATGAGATTTGTTAAAACAACAGACAAATGGATGGGCATACATTGCAAAATCTTACTTTTTCTTGTTGCATTTTACTGATCATTTCTTGAACTTTTTGACCACCAGAGAATAGACCTGTCTGTGTTTGACGTATAGCCTGTAAATCATCCTGATGTTGATAGATCAATTCTTTCTGTACTCTGCGAACTTGATCCACAACAGCAGTTAATAAAGATACTCTTAGTTGTTCTTCGTTAAGGGTGCCTAGAAATAAATAAAATGAAGCAAACAGCGACCTCAATAAATTGAAGATGAATTGTAAATTGATGGATAGATAAGTGAGAATATTTTCTATGAAAGCAGATAAAGTAAGAACATTTTAACTATGGAAATATTGTAGGAAGTTACAATTTCGAATAAATTTTAGTGTATTATCAATATCATTCAAACAGGAAATTAGTACAACATGGGCAGTAAGAGATGCACTATACAAAGGTGGCGAAACAATATTAGGATAGTCGAGATAGGATAACTATTGAGGGACATTGTCAACAAAAAAAGAAGCACACTTATCAAGATTATTCAAAGGATGGATTAATACATCATGTTACTTTCAGAAAGAGAATAAGGGAGGAGGAAATCTCAGCATGCTCACTACTCATCACGACACGAGGTCATAACAGTTAACATTCGACGCCAATGATTCAAATTATCTCTCGGAGACCAGCAAGGGAGTTGTGTTGCACCAACAGATGCTATCCTGACACAACTATCCTTCAAGCCACGATACCATGTCATAAACTGACCACCCTTCCATTTTTTTCACCCACTCACCGGGCTAGCAAACGGGGAACGATATAGAAGCCAGTGGGATGACATTCTTAACATGTGCACGAGGCACTGAAGTCGGCGATCCAAAATGATAACAGTCAATGAAAGACGATCTACACTGTATCAAAAACACGCCACCGGAACTCAGAATTACTGACATGACGACGACGGAGATAGAATATACAGAGTAGCTGAGTATCTTCAGCTTGAGGGGCGTAGAGCAAGAGTGCGCGCACCAAAACATTGTAAGCCCAATCTTTGGCAGCCAGGCTGGCGTCACAACGGTGCCAAAGGTGGTCTAGATTGGCGTATGCTGCCCAGGTTTTCAATATTTGGTTACAGGCCTCACCCGTCACACCTCCTCCAGGATTTATACAACAACTAAGATACGGGAACTTATCGACTACCTCTAATGATTCACCTGAAAGAGTGGATGCAGGCTTCTTCCAAACTTGCAATAATACTTTGCATTTAGAAGGAGCAAAACACTTACAGTCACTGACCACCAACCGATAAATCACAATTCGGGTAGCCACGCACACCCTCCAGGGCTGTCACCAGAATGTCATCGGTGACAAAGACAAAGATAAGTGTTAAGAGTAGGTAACCCTGTTTAAACCCACTGTTACGTGAGAACAGAGGTGACAGATGGCTGTAAGCGTTCTATGTGCCTGAGGATGTTAACAAACTTCTCAAGAACATCTCTAAGAGGAAATTCAAAAAAGTAACTCTATCCAACGAACCGAAGGCAGTCCTAATATTAGAAGATACAACGATTGTTGGCCTGTTCCAGGGACTACCAAAGAGTGGACGGCAGTATCTAGACACATACAATAAAATGTATACAAATGGGAATAACTAATAAAATTACATAATTCATACATTACGGAGATTAACTTTGAATCCTCTGCAGATTTACTTTACTGAATAACACTGAAGTTTGAAACAACTGGTCCTGGGTTCGAGTCCCAGTGGGAACACGATCGCCTACTAGGCAAAACAGGAACATTCAACTAACGGGTGCCGAATTCAGAGAAATGCATGCCCTACCATGCTGACCAGCGCACCAACCAAATCACACTGATTAATAACTCATAGTTGAAAGGAATAAAGTGGCTTGTTGTATGAGGCATTACAACAATGAACAATACATTTTACGGCATTAGGAATTAGTAATTACATTCGTTCATCACTGTTACGAGAAGTTTGTCATTGGAAATATTCTATAACGACTGTCGGAATTCCTCCACCCGGGAGGCATGGGTCTACTTCAAGCTTAAGAGGAATATTCATTCCTCTTCATCGAAACGACTGTATAACACATCTGCTACGGAGAACATATTGCATTGGAGGGGGGGGTTCAGTGGGAGAATCTTTGCCAGTGATACAAGTTACCCAGAGGTTGGTGCCAAGTCCACGCATTCCTATACCTCAATGAATGAATGACTGACTGAACAGTTTCAACGTAGAAATCTGCACACAAGTCCAGCACTACAACTCACCTCAATCCACGCACCACACAAACGAAGACAAAAGGCAGAAAAACAAATTACAAAGAACCATTATGAGCAAAAATGTAGCCAAGAAAGAATACTGACTCACACGGAAAAACAATACAGTTGAATGCATATCAGTGATCAGAGAGAGAGAGAGAGAGTGAGTGAATACATCTGCGTCATCGAGAATGATTTCCAGCCATTCCACCAACTCTCTCCAACCATTGGTTCTTACACTTCCTACGACACCAACCAGTCAGACAGTCTACACACCGCTACGTGTCTCAAACTGACTATCAGACATTTCATGAACTGATTCCAAGTATTACTTTCAAACACCACTAGCTCTTTTCCAACGTCATCGGTCCCATGTCAGCTAGCATTGCCTGTCTGGGAAGGTGATGGCTAGGCACATGCATCATAGCACATGTCTTAGCCACCTCAATCGACACTCATTTTCACAAACTCCTACACTCCTACAACTTATTTACTGGTCTACAGTGAACCCGAAAAAGATAGAAGGTTGACCGTGAGGCAAGCAACGGCAGTCTGAAACCTACAGGGTTTCAAAGCTTGAAGTTTTCAGACGAAAAGGAATGCAAAATAAACACGAAGACGAAGACCATAACTAACGAAGAGGCCTCTATATGAAAAAACATTTCCAAAAGTTACTCGAAAATTAGGTCCATGTTGTAGACAATCCAGTTTATAGTAAAAAAAAGCACACATGTGAAAGCTGCTCGAATGAAATAACCCTCAAACATAAAACTGCATCACCTTCATAACATCAAGCATGGTGGTTTGAACACTCTCCATGTAATATGGTTCATTTCACACATCACATAGTCAACTTTTCTACAGCTGATATTAAAATCTACACACACATATATATAAACACTAGAAGAGGAGAGAACAACAGTGAAACGAAAAGCCACAGAGATTTGGACTATTTCATTCAGGTTTTTGGGAGACTTGGCTCATGTTTATTAGAATGAAAACAATGTTAGTCAGTGAGTAACAGTAGAATATTAAGTTGTTATTATTATTAAGCAATGCATACACTTTTCATAGTTTCTTACTCAAATACCTTTTTTGAAAAGTAAACATGAAAAAAACAAAACAAACAAACGAAATGCTGAGCACCACATTTGTATTAAGTAAATTAGCAGATTCTGATAAATCTACACTATTTAGAAGTTAAAGTATGATTTCAATTATTCACGGTGGTAAGTTTGTTGAATAGTCGTCAGCACTAGCTCTTTAAGCACCTGTCAGTTATATATATATACAGACATTCGATCTCTGAGATGATATCCAGTCTCTTCAAATTGGTATGAACAGTTCTCTTGAAGACCACAGGTGATATGTATGAGTGTGCTGGAACAGTTCCTCTGGCTTCCTAATGGAATAGCAGCAGCTTCAGCAGTACATCGACCATTTCACTCTGTTCCCTGGAGTATTTTTTTTCCTGACTCGCTTTCATTTCCTCTTAACATTTTATATCTCCTTTATCCCACCCACCCCAAAGGATTCCCAAATTGTTGCCACCTCTATTCAAGTTCCACTCGAGGATCTGGAGAGCAATGTCACTTAACGATCTCCTCAGTGTACATCTTGATCTATTCCCATTACTTTCTGTATATTTGTGATAGGCGACAGGTTCTTGACTGGTTAGTAGCCAGAGATTCTCGTCGCTAATCGATTTTGGCCAGCCATTTAATCTTCAGTATGGAGAGAAGACAGCTGTTAATAAAAACAATGTTTAGTAGGTTGTTGGAAATGCTTTTCGGGGTGTATGAGTCAATTCTCGGAACACATTAATGTTGAAAATCCACATCCTATTCCTAATGTTGATTGAAGGAAATTTCCTAACTGATTTCAGAGTAATGAAGGCTTGTTTTTCCTATCCTTGCTATGACATCCATGGCGCCTGTAGTTGAGAAGATACTGTCGAAATAAGTCCATAGCTCCAAGTGTGAGACTGCAAATATTATCAACAGGCAGTGTATGTGTGACCACTTCCCACAAAGATTCTGTCAGTACTCATGATGTACAGAAAAAAAAAACTGGAAAAGGATTTCATCATGAACTCACACATCTATTAGTGGACCATTAAGAAACCTGGAAATATTGGACAGCTGTTTCGTTCTAGTTTGAGACGCTATATCAGTACGCACCCATTGAGGTCCGAACCCATGACCGTTTGGTTACAAGGCGAGCTCGTAGACCATTAAGCCAATAACGTTCACTAGTGGTCGCAGCATATCGTGAATTGGCGGTATAGTTGGAATTCATGGACCACTGGATCGGGCTCCAGTGTGGCCTAATGGTCTACGAGGTCACTTTTTTAACCAAAAGGTCCTGGGTTCGAACCTCAGTGGGTGCGTACTGATAAAGAGTCGCAAACTAAGAGGGAACAGCTGTCCAGTACTTCCAGGTTTTCCAATGGTCCACCAACAGATGTCAGTTCATGATGAAATCCTGAAACCAATCAAATCCCTTCAAACCAACACTTGAAAACTGGAAAAGATTAACAGAGGCTACATTACCTTGATTACACATTGAACATTAAGAACATGAAGAGTTCAGTGGTGTGCAAATACTACTTTTACTACTATTATCATTAATGATAATGATGATAATAGTCACTTTATTCCAGTGGATTTCTCATTGTCGTTGTTGCATGGAACTTCAATGAGTAGAAGGCGAGATTAGAAGTGATACCTACCCATATCTTAAAAACGCAAACTTGGTGTATTATGAACACCAAGAGGTGTACCACGCAAAAGCTCATAACTCATGCGAGGGCTTGGATAATGCCAGGGCGTCTAGACTGATACACAGGGTTGTCTTAAGCACCTTTTGACTTGAAGCCTGATATCGACAGCAGTGGAGCAGCATTCCCACGGTTGCCAATGACTGAAACAGACTCATACATCATTCGATCCTTTCGGGTTTCGGAGGCCATTTACACCATGGGTTTGGCATCAGGGTTTTCCAGCTCCCCTACGTATACCTGCAGGTCCACAAGTCTAGTTGTGAGCATCAAGAGTTCTCCCTTTCACTTACATCATGTCAACACAGGCGGTCGCAATCAATAAAGTTATTACGACAACACTAATGATAGTGAATATACTTTGTGTTCTGATGAATACAGGATAAAGGAAACAATCGATACGTTCAACTATGCAAGTAAGTCAGATTATCTGTATATTTAAAAAAAATAAAATCTATCTTAATCAATGCGACCACAAACACGGTGGAAACTAGAAGAATACTATTCAAGTAAACTTTCTACAGGGAACGAATTTCAAAGGTAGGTGTATTTGACACGTAATATACCCTCTGTTGAGAAGACCAATTATTTCGTGGAATTCTTATGGTCAAATAAATGCAGAATTGTTCACAAAGTGTTGAAAATCGATTTTATTACTATTATTATCATCATCATCGGTTTCACCATTATCGACAGCTTTCTTGAGCAATAAAATTGGCAGGTCTCCGCTTTTTCCTAATCAATAGGTATATTGTAAAACAATTTCACCAATGATAACAATAACCTCACTGTAAATAATAAGGAAGAATGAAGATATTAAGCGCCAGGCGCTTCTGAGTGGAAGCTAAATGGAGTGGGTATCCCACGATAAAATGGGAAAGATCATGTGTAGCCATGTGAAAGCGATGGCAATTCTCGGCATCTCTGCTTCCTGACCAGTAGGTTCTCAGTTGGTTTGCTGCCTATCAGACTTCCTTATCGCTTATTCTGTGTCTCAATGGCCATTTGATCTTCAGCATTGAGGAGAACCACTGGCTTATGAAAGTTTATGAATAGCGTGAGTGCGCCAACTTTCTGAACCATACAGAAGCACTGAGGTGCCATTAGTGTTAAGCGAAATTTGAATATGGATTTCCATATCAAATTCAGAGGAATGAATCCGTTTTGATCTTGGCTCGCTTTGACATCCGCATCCATGCCGCCTGTGGTTGACACGACAGTGCCAATGTAAGCGAATGACACGATTCTTTTTTTAGACTTCTTCTGCTGGCAGTTATTGGTGTTCGGTGTTAGCGTAATAATAATAATAATAAAGTTGCTAGCGTAAAATAACGATTTTTTCTTCAAGTCGAACTACAACATGTCTTAACTTTTATGCCTAACCCGTGAAACATAACACTAAAAACACAGAATTATGATCATGATTGCGATAGTGTGTGAATATACAGAGCATTATCAAAGGAAAACCATCTATAAACAATGCATAAAAAGTCAAGATCTTCCATCTGAATGGCAAAATACAGTTTGCGTTTGAGCTTACAAGCGCGTATGAGGGCGGAATCCTGTGTTACACTTGTACAATAATGCTTTTTAAATACTTACGGCAAAATTTTTAAAAAAACTTTTAAAACACCCTATTTATTCTATTTCTTTCAATCCTATCAATCAGTCATCCAAAAATTATTATTATTATTATTGTTCCCTTGGGTTCCTAGTGGAATATAGAGCTTCAACTGCACGTCGCCACTTGCTTCTGTCTTCTTCTGTACTTTTCACCTGCATCCATGTTACTCCATACTGCTTCAGCTCCACTTCACACGATCTCCTCCATGTCACCCTTGCACGTCCCACTCGCCGCTTCCCTTTCGGGTTCCACTCGAGCGATGGCCTGACGCGCGATGTCACCCAACGGCCTCCTCAGCGAGTGTTCAATCCATCCCCACTTTCTCCTGCATATTTATTGGCCGATTGGTTCTTGTTTCGTTTGTTCCCATAGTTTCTTGTTGGTACTTGTTCTTTCCGGCCATCTCATCTTCAGTATGGAGCGAAGACAGTTGTTGTTGATAAAGATCTGCAACAGGCTGTTAGAAATATTATTTGTGACCCACCAAGTTTCTGATCCCTATAGAAGAACTGACTGACTTGACGTTGGTATTGAAAATCCGAATGTTGTTGTTGAGTGTTGCTGAGTGACGAAGATTTCCAGATTGGTTCCAGGTTGATGAATGTGTTTCTCGCCTTCCCGATTCTCGATTTGTCATCCTCGTTCGTTCCTCCTGTAGTTGAGACAATACTCCCTAGATAAGTGAATGAAGTAACCTCTTTCAAATCCCTCCCGTTGATGGTGACTCGCGCTGGATGTTGCTGCTGCTGTTGTTGTTGTTGGTTGCTTATTTTCATAACCTCCGTCTTGTCCATGTTCACCTGGAGTCCTGTCTTCTCTGGCTGCTTCTTCGACCAGTTTGTCGGTTTTCGCTAGTAAGTCTTCGATTTTGTGTGACATCAAACATAAATCATCCACGCGCGAAATCCAGGTCTTCTAGGTTCTTCACGTCAGTCCAGGATATCCCTGTCTTCTCGCTTCCCACTGTCTGACGCATAATCCAGTCCACCACAATTAGGAATATCATTGGTGATAATAAGGACCCTTGTCTGACTCCTGTGTTTACTCCGAAAGCCTCGCTGAGTTTTCCGTTGTGGATCACTTGACATGTGCCGTTGTCGTACAGCTGTTGAATAAGGTTGATGAGTATTTGGGGTACACCAAAAATAAGACTGAATAATTCTCATTGTTGACCGTATTTTTGAACAGTGCATGTGTGTGTGTCTGAATCATGCATATTGTACATCACGGGAATTAAGTAGTCAGTAAATAAGTAATGATTAGTGAAAAGGAAGGGGCTAGATGGATCAATCATGCTTTTGTATTCAACTGTTCTTGTCAAATTCATTCTTGTTTTAAAAATTCTAAATTCAATGGTGGTCATAGCCAGATCTGCTAAACACAGTGAACCGAGTAGACAGGCTGAATAAAAAAAGCTAACACTATTCACTGCTTTGTATGCACACAACGTGTTTGACTAGTGTTCGACCCTGATATTGAGATCAAAACTGCTCCAGTTGTAGTGTTGCCTCTTAAAAAAAGAAACAATCGCCTGTTAACGAAACGAAAAACCCACAGTTATGTGCAGCAAAACATCATTGATCTTCTTGTTTAGTAGCAAAAAAAAAAAATAGCATGTGTTTTTAAATGGAAAAGTTGAACAGAGCAGTATTTACCAGAATTATACGGCATATTGGCCGGTGTAGAATGATCTTGGCCTACCGGCAATGGTACACTTTGACCAGGCATGGGATATATATTTGGATTTGAGGTCTGTGTAAAAGGACTGGCGAAATTCGGCAACTGAGGCATAGGCATAGAAGCGACAGGGGGTACAGGACCGGGTATCTGCCAACCAGCACCGATTTGTGGTAAATACATATTTGAACCTTTGCCATTTGTTGCAACAGGGATCGGAGGTTGTGGTAAAGCACCTGTATTAATCCAACAGTGAGATAAAACACATTGTGAGTTAATTTAACATTAGAGCATAGGGATTTCACAAATCAAAAATTTGATAATCATGTGTACTTTTTATCTTATTAAGGTTACTGCGTTTTCATACTGGTAAAAGACAAGTATTTCATCAGTCTTCTATACCGAAACTGCCTGAAACAGTTCAATCAACTATGCGTGATACATCAACGACATGCAGACTGCAGATAGCTAAGGGAACAAGGTAACATAAATTATCCTGTTCAACTACTTTATTGAGGTTTAAGTATTTATGCAGTGACTATGGGAACGAGTAATGATTTCTGGCATTATGAAAAAAAAAACAAAAAAACAACGAAGTTAGTACAAATGAATAACACATATGATCACCTGGATAAGCCACTGAACCAACAAATGGAGGATTCAACTGGGCGTTTGAGCTTTGTCGTTTCGACAGAGGAGCAGATTTAGAAAATACAGGAGACTTCTCACCGAATACAATTTGCAGTACTGATATCAATCCAATAAGATCTGTGTCAGGCTATATAATTCATGGAAAATACAGAAAAAGTTATTTAGGAAAACAACGTAGTAAATCTGTGAGTTAAGCATTTTTTTCTTGATGAGATGAATAACGTCAGTAAAATGAGTTAAACAGCTGAAAACGAAAGAATTCAACTTCATTTACCTATTTCAATTCATATCAATCAAACATTATTTTTTAAACCAACCACCTTTTTTGGATTGTTGCCAACAGTATTTAAATTTTACGAGAAATATGTTACATCATGTCATAGCTTGACAAAATACTAGTTAGTTATTGACAGGCGAACACACATTGCTCACTGACTTTGAAAACAACTAAGAGAAAAGACCTAAAGTGAAGGTAACAAAGAATTTAAGTAATGTTCCTGAGCAGTGTGCTTAGCAGCGAAGGAAGGCAAAAGCAATGCGCAAAGCTGAGATTATGGATGATACTAGAAAACTGTCTACTTTATTTAGGTAAATCCTAAGATAGAGATAATCGCAGTAGTAGGCGCGAGAACATACGCGAATGTCCCGTGTTGATTGTTGAACAGGTGGGCACAAATATTTCACCAAGAGTGGGTAGAAAGTCTAAATCTAAATACTTCCTGCACCCAACATGCACAGTAATATGAACCTGTTTTGGTTGATGGCAGTCACAGGAATGAAATTCAGCTAACACTGCCTGTCAGTGAAGGTGATGGCTAGACATGCGTAGCACATATCCTAAGCATCTCAATCGGTGTAACTTTACAGCCCCGTTGATTGATTTTCCCTCCCCACATAACACTTCATGCCCAACCTCAATATTACTCACCTTACTAAGCTATCTAACATGGGAGACAGAATGCAGAAACCTATGATCAAAGGCAGCTAGTTAACCTATTGATGTCCTCCACTTTCAATGGTGATGTCTTACACTCATGAAAGAGGGCGGAGCGAACTGCTGAGCAGTACACATGTCCTTCGATGGATAGTCGGGTATTACGTTTACGTCAGAGATGGCATAAGTAAGCGAATGCCACACGAACCTTTTATGTACATGCTGAGATTTTGTGTACGATCAGCCTGTTACGTTTGATGCAACTTACTAAATAAATGAAGTGATCAACACACTGAATCACTTCACTTCCTAGCTATAAGTTAGGAGTCGATGTACCCCTGTCTTGTAGCATCATGTCACTTTTGACTGGTGAAAATTACTTGCCAAACATCTGAAGATTTCTGCTCATTGTGTTCAAAAGATCCTGCATTTTGTCAGTCTTCAACCTCGTATTCTAAATCAACAAGGCTATTCTGTTGTAATAATACAATCCCTAAGTTGCTTAATTTAGTTAGGGTTAATTTCATTCGTATATCTATGATGAAATTCAACAGAAATGGTAGAAGTTTCCTCAAGACTACAGTAGTTCCAGTTGAAACGCTTACGAAAATCACATAGGAAAGTTGAGAAACAAAGCACTTATATTGAAACGTAATCAACGAAAATGTACAGAATATATTAGTCAGGTAAAAGTTAGTGAGTTTGGAAGGCAACGAGGAGTGAATGAGTCTGCACCATTGTGAACAATGTCACCAACAGTGATTTCTTAGCATTCTGAAGACTCTGACCAGACAGTCTGAACGCTTGACTATTTCACTCCCTATCCTTAAATGATGAGTTGGTGCAGACCAGTACCACAACACCAGCTTACTATTCATAGCGGTAAATCACAGGCTATAAATATCAAAACTTTTGCTGAAGGTGGCCAAAAGACTCTGAACTTTGTTAACATCTTCACCTACGGGAAAAATATCATTTGAATACACAAAGGTGACGAGACTATTCCCTGGTGTCAAGTCAATCCCGAAGTCGTTAAAGTTGATCACTTCAAACAACAACTTTCCATAGGTTATTACACCGTTGCATAAATTCGAATACAGTGCCTAGATTAGTACAATATGCCTTCTCAGTACTCCCTTCACGACTAGACATTGCCACAACAGCCCTCGGCAAACAGCGTCTAATACCACCAGAAGAGTGAACTCAATTACTTCAATACAATAGTCCTTTCACCATTGGAATTTGAAAGAAAAGTGATGGACATTACTATTGGAGATGAAAATATGGCGTTTTATAGAACTTCTCGATTTACTAGTATTCACATATTTTATCTACTTGATATAATGAAAAATGAAGCTGAAAACAATAAAGAACTATTAGCCAAATGCTTATTATTAGTGGAAGAGTATTAAATGTGTAAAAATTTCTATGAAATCTACATATTTTACTCTTAACGACAAACTGTACTATGAAAGAAACTGAATTGCAATAGGACCACCAGCATCTCAAACAGTCGCTAATCATCACATGAAAGCTCTAGAGAGAAGGGTACTGAATGGTTTTATCTATTAACCTAAAGTATGATACAGTATGTAGATTATAGACTTCTTATTACCAAGACATTTGAAAAGGAAAACTTCCCAGAAGATAAACTAAATTTCAAACTGTAAAAAAATTTAGACACGAATTAGAATCGGATGATAAGACTCTAAACTTTCCAGATTTTCATGTCACAAGACAATGTGATGGAGGGCTATTATGCGTTATATACAGAGAGAAAACCGACATACTTAAACAAATGAATTTGCTATCTCAAGAGAAGGATCACATCATCTCTGAGAAGAACATTCTTTGCAGCAACGCTAAGAATAGTGTTCTCCAGTCGCCCACTAATCTGCAGAAGCCTCAAGGACAAGATCCCGCATCTGGCCACTTCTATGTGCATATACCAGTTCACCTGCTGCTGTGGAGCCAGGTACATCGGTCGTTCGACCCGCATCCTGTCCAAGAGGATTCAAGAACACTATCCAGCATGGTTGCGAAAAGGCAATACTGGTGCAATAAGGAGTGCGATAATTGAACGCCTGGTCAGCACTGATCATTGCATTTCAACGAACGCCTCCTTCAAAGTAATCTACAGAGTCAAGAACAACATGTCAAAGGCAATACGGTTTCGTCTCCTCTGTATCGCTGAAGCTCTAGCCATTCACATGGAAAAACCGGAGCTGTGCATACAAAAGAAGATTACTCAACCACTTCTACTCTCATGGTAACAATGTTTTGATTTTATTTTATTTTATTCTGATAACTTAACTTTGTTTCTTTGCCTGTTCCTTAGTTGCTTATAATTTTTATATTCACTTAGATCTCTTACATAGTTTCGTATTATCTACTTTGTTTCTATGTGCATCCTGAGTAAAACTCACTCATCAAAATGTTCATATTATTATTGCATAACTTCTTTTAACAACTGTTTTTGACAACTCATCACCTTTGTTACTATCCTAGCACTTAATTGCCTTGACTTATATTACCAACCTTTACCTGTTTAGTTAAAATAACCTTAAGCAATTGTAATTCTTGTATCCACTTAGATCTCTTACATAATTTCTACTTTGTTTCTACGTGCATCCTGAGTAGGACTCACTATTATTATTACAACTGTTTCTGACAACTCATCACCTTTGTTACTACCCTAGTTTTCTTGACCTGTATTACCAACCTTCACTTGTTTAGTTAAAATTAACCTTAACCAATTGTAACTTTGTTTGACAAACTTAATGTACACATACAAACAAAACAATGCATATATATTTGCGATTGTACAGCTAAGAAGATGAATTCGCCGAAAAGAGACTCTTCGCTGATCTACGTGTTTTGTTTTCATTAAATTTGCTATCTGACCGCGCAATCAGTACGTACGTTCCAGAATCTTTAAATCTGCACACAACAATGATAAGGAGAATGAGAACTCCAATGTAGGACAGATTTTAGTTAAAAATTACTATTCGAAAAAGTCCTTAAACAACGTTTTCAAAAAATGGCAAGAAATGGAAAAATGTTGAGAAATCTTGGGTATTAAAAACAACTGTTTCATATTAAAATGACACCGAAGAACAACTTCAAAGAGTATTTCCTTCATATGGTGTTAAAGTGTATTTCAGACCTCAGAATTCTTTCAAGAGAGCTTCATTTAGCTGGGAAGGGATATTTCGTAAAATGATGCAATAAAAACTGTCTGTAAGAATGTGAGGTTTTCTGTGACAAAGGGTGAATGAACATGAACTACGCACAAAAAATCCGCCCAGAAATGAAGTAAAAGTAGAGTCTAGAAAAAAAGACCAACTACAGCAATGCACGGATATGAAATAGATTTTTTAAATGTCGAATTACTTAGAAGAGGCTTTTATTCATATACCAATGGAATGACCTCTGAAGCCTTGCATAGTTTAACTACATCGAATGTGATAAACACGCGAGGGAACGAAAAGACTAATGAATTAATACGTTCTCTATGCATCATATAACACGTAAATATACCGACTGATATATACACATTATAACAATTTAAAGTGACATGACACTCATTAAACATAAATGATAACTGCTGACATCAGTTCAACAGGTACAAATATTTACCGATAAGTGACGTCTGTCTTTAAATCTCAGGTCTAATTATATAGACAAACGTGAGCTGTACAAATGGGATGACTAATATCCCCAATCGTAGCTATTTTTATGGACAGTTGGGAAAAAAGCGGCCCTTAACACATCTAAACCTTCACCAAAGACATGGTGGAGATACGTGGATGACAATTAGTGTTAAAAACAGAACATGTATCTAGTTTCACACATATAAACTTGATAGTAGAGGGAATAAAACATACACTGGAGTCAGAAAATGAACCGGGAAAAGTAGCTATGTCAGATTGTAAAATAAAACAAAAAGGAGGTAAATTATGCATAAAAAACCAATGCACTCTAGTAGATCTTTAGACTTTAATTCATCTCATCTATTATCTGGAAAACCGGACTTAGTTAAGTGTCCGGAAAACCCAGCAATACTAAGCGGTACGTCAGAAAACTTAAATAATTAAACGAAATAGGTAGAAGCTTTGGTAATAAATAACTATCTTATAAAATTCATTCAGACAATAATAAACGTTCGCGATAAAGGTAAAAATAGTAGTGAAACTATCGACCATAACATAAAGAACATAAAGGCACCGGCAGGTTCACCACATAAAGAAGGGCTATGTAAAACCCTACATTGGATTATTAGTAAAGCAGGAATTAGGGCAGCATTTAAACATCAAAACTTACTCGGAGGCAAACCTTGTAAGCTAAAGGACCCTACTGACTGAACCTGATAGAACAATGTAATCTAAACAATACCTTTTAATAACCGTGAGGTCAACTACATAGGTCAGATTAGTAAGTAGGGGGTAGTCAGACCACCAGAACATAAGAATTTAGCTAAATGTAGAATGATTGACCTCGGAAAGATAAATAGTTTAGAGGAAAACTCAGCAGTCGCAATGCGTGTATTAACACACAATCACACAATAGGGTTGGACAGAGCCACAGTTCCGGATAGTAATATGAGTAGGCGGAAAGAGAGGTTAATTACTGAATCCTTGTTGATCGAATCCACTGGTGGAATGGGAATGACACAACGCCAATAACGTAGATATGGGAAATGTTACTACCCCTAGAATCAAGGAATAAGAAATAGAGGAAATAGAAATATATAAATGAAATTGAAAGGGTATGCGGGTGCCTTGATGATATGATTATGAGCAATAAGTTGTGCTCGAAACGGCATCGGTAAATACTATCGTACCACAGCATGCTTTTATCAGATACATTTATCCCATTATTAAAAATGACTTCAGCACTGGGTGGGACAGATTATAATCCTAGACAATTTTTTAAGGTTGGAAACACAACCTGCTGTCAATACAGGATATGAAGGGCTGGATCAGCGAAGACAGTTAAGCATGCAGTGAGGCGGAAAACTCACTACTGATAACTCAACCAGGCAGCTTGAACAAGGTGCAACGTAAAAATATATAATCAAACACTTGCACTTACACGAAGTTGAAGATGAACCACACCTACTGTGAGGGCTAATGATGCTACTTAGTTGTACAAACGTCTGTAGGTGAAGCCCTAATCGGACAGATGACCCAGTGGTTGGAAGTCGGACGCTTAAACTGGTTACAGCTTCACTTAGTGAGATATATGTATGTATGTACGAGGTTTACTTAGTATTAATATTCGGTTTGCTTAGAAAAGAAGTCTAATTGTTTTCAAACTGTCTCAATGGTTTTACTAATTTGTCAGTGGATAGGAAAAATATATCTACCGATACAAACTAATTTCGCGAATATTCAGAATCAAGTACAAGCAAGGTCCCGCAAATAACTCTCAACTTTCTATGACCATTTGAGTAATTATCGAAACACACGACGAAATCTATATTTATCTAAAGAGCTTTTTACAGCTGATACACAGACAGTAGAGCTACCCCTTGCACTTCGTCTTAATCAAGTCCTCAAATCATAATTACAGCTTAGTTTACCCTACTAAAAATATATTTAAGATCATCAAATTATTATCTTCATCTAATCTGAAACATGACAACGTAGGAATGACATGATGAGTATAACTCACTGAATTACAGGATACGAAAAAAGACATTTTGGTCATTCAGAGCAAACTAATTTTGTTTCCTGAGGTAGCTACTGATGCCATGATACAAAACTGGATAAACAACGGGCATGGGGAAACGCGCTACTATTTTACTATCAGCACCAATGCAAGTAGAAAATGACAATCTGCAGACGTTATGGAGAAGTAAAAGGGTCAGGAAGTTGGATCCACATGAGCCCACTAAAAACGTAACAAACTTAATCTTATTTGTAAGGTACACTATCCAACACTATTACACTATTATCCAACTATTAAACTGGAAATAACCCATTGTGGTGATATGATCGATACTGAAGTGTAGGTTTTTACATGTCCCAATGGCTTTTAGCAAAACAGACCTTCCCACTAAAATAAACAGTAACATTTGAAAAACACCTGATTGTCAGTTTTCTATGGTGATTCTGCTCGTTCGAAAATATATAAAACAATTAAAAAAGCAGGCGAAGATAACGCATCTGCGGCGTAGTATCATAACAGAGAGAAAACACGATGCTCAAAATTCACTAACTAAATATCAAACTTGAAGTAAATTATTTTCTTTATGAATTAAAAATACTGTCACGCACTTACATGCTTCCAGTCTGTCATGTATGGTAGTTGAACAAGGCCAGCACTGTCAACAAAGTCACTTGGTTTAATCTGCATAGTGTTTGTAGGTCTTACATACACCATCGGGGACTTGTTTGGATAGACTTCAAACAGAAATATAGCAATCGGAATGTTATATGTGGAGCCCATATAGCGGACTGGTATAGTGCCATCCAGGCTTACGAGTTTTCGAGTAGTTCCGTCATTGTGGACTGTAAATAAGTTACGTTAGGAATGGGACGTACTGAAATCCTCAAATTTAGGACGTAGCTCCTTATAAGCCTCCAGGGCAGAAGTAACATCTCTACGTACGATTTGTGGGTTTGTGTACTAATTTAAAGTGATTAGATGATGATGACTGAGACAGTTAAAACATACTTTAGCCAAGCTTCTAGCGAAAAACCGATCATAGGTAGACATTGGGTACAGACTGAATTTGCCACACTGTGTAGGTCGAGCTTCTCAAGGTCACGTCCAACATCCAATATTTCGGAATTCGTATTTAAAAACGACGTAATTATTTCACATATTCTGTGCCCTTAATATTGAAGAAAGTAAAAGCGACAGTTTATTTTTCGTTTCTTACCTTAGTTTAGCCTCAGGATGATATTGCTCGTCGTTAAGGTCCTGCTGGAGTCTGGAATGAGTATATGCGCTTCCCCTGAAAACCGCTATGTAATTACAGAGTCAATAGGCGTATCATTATACAGATGACATGGATTGGATACTAGTACGAGCATCTTAGACGCACGTGTACGTAAATATCATAGTAGATCACGACCTGAGGACTACACCACACATCTTATGAGATGTCATCTTGCGGTTTTAGATAGTTATGGTTATTTTAGTGAACCGGTACTTGGAAAACCGGTGAAATGTCCACCACATTAAGACTATCTCTAGTGAGGTCGAAACTGAATAACTGCATCCATGCAGCAAACTCCTGTCTTTCAAAGGAATACCACATGTATGAATCTTGGGCTGAAATTATCCCGCATGCTCAAGGTCATTGATGAAGTGAGACGCTCAAAGGGCATTTTCGTCCATGTGAGTCGGTTATGTTGGATTGCAGTTCCGTAGCCGTTCGTTTACACATTGGTTTTACGTTCTGTTGGCATTAATAGGTGATTCCTATGTACTGATAGCATTCTTTTGTAAAATAGTACTGTTCTTCACACGAAAATAGCCACATTTTGACGTAGTCTTCATTGAATGATACTATGTCGAAAGCTGCAGCTTCTACAAGAAATAAACTATTTGTGTAGATGACATTACCCCCCAACTACCCCATCTTCCTCATTGTAGAGATTTTTTGACGCATTCAGCATGAAACACTAATCATTACAACCAATATGCTAAGTGTGTCGCAGTGAGATTAAATGACGCAGACACCAACATAACTAGCCAGGAAATGAGAATTCCTATCAATCCAGAAAACATATAACAAATTTTTATTAAAAATTATTGACAAAAAAAATTTGCCGAGCGAAATTTCAACTAACATGCCGGATAAGTCCAGCCTGAATCTTGGCATGAACAATCTGTCATATGACAGGAAAGAATACACACTCCGGATCTCTTCTTCCTGTTGACCGTAGGCAGAGAGACCTCATTACAGTGTTCAAAATTCTGAGAAATAGATAAAGACAGCATCTGCCATCTCCTTTCCGTCCTTTCAGGACAGAAAATTTAGGAGGACAGAGACCCTGAGTTCAAAAGCCAAGTAGAAACCACATCATTCAAACCAGTTCACAGAAGAATTGGTGCTCATTACCTCAAGTGACTTGTTCAGAGAGGAAATAGAAAAAGACAGATACTTACTAGGATTTGATCAACATTGTCTTGAAGCCTTCTATCCTCAGTGGAAATCTGAGTCTTATATAGTATCCCGTAACGGCCCTCATACCAAAAACGTAGATACCTCAGTCAACAGCTAGGTTAAGGTGCCAAGTAATCCACAATGGGAAGCTAATGGAGTCATCGGAAATGATATTCTTTATTGTGGTGGACTGGATCGTGTAGCAGAATGTGGAGAGTGGGACAGGAATATGTTTAATGGGCAAAAGGAATCCAGAAGATCGTGATTTTCATTCGGTTTGTTTCTCGCTACTCATTAAGTTAAGGATGTACAAGTGAAAACTAGCAAGTTGGCAGAAGGGGCGGAGCATACAATAATTTAAACGAACACAGAGAAAACAGAATGATATCGAGACCCGATACACAATGAACAGCAGTTATCATCGATCATAATTACGACCACCAGTTGTGATTCATGTCATGAGTTAAAGATAGATTAACTGTTAGCAGTGAGTAGCCTGTATGAACAATTCAAAGTTACTGAATAAATGGGCTAGAAAAAGATGTTAGCAATACCATTAGCCTTTCACTTCGGGCTTTTTTCGTCTTAGGGTCTTCAAGATTTCACTATGGGGAGAGTGAGCTGAGGTAGTGAGTAATCACCCAAAATTGTTGGCCTGCAGCATCTCCCACATAGCATTGGGCTCTGACCTCCACTATTTAAGTTTACCCGTCAAGCTTAAGGTTGGCATTCAAGCTTCCACCCCATCCGCCACACCGTCCTGCTACGTTTGGTCGTTCGTGCAAGCTCTTAACCAATCATCATCGCACTAACATTCCGATCCTGAAATATTTCTCAAGTTTTGGACGATCAATTTGATTTCTTTTATTTCCTTAGTCTATGCAGATTAAATACCATAAGATTTCGGGAAATGGAGCCTGAGTTTGCACTTTTTGTACTCCACATAAACGTCAACTTCGCTTCATCTCCTGAAACCTCAGAGAAAAATCGATTGTGCTACGCTCGCTGTTAAGTCAACCACTGTAACCTTGGCCAGATGAGGGAACATAAAAACTGGGACAAATCCTGACCTGGCAAGCCGGTTGGCACGAACGAGGAAGACCGAAATAAGCCAGGAGTCAATGACAGACTTTATCGACAAGTTCTTCACATAGGGATCGCCAACCAATGCAACATCGGCAAAGTTTCAACCAGAAGAAACCTACGCATGTTCTGCCTGTATCCACCAAGACATGGCATATCAGACAATAGGTAAACTGGACAAAGAAAAATGGGCAGGAACTGATGAACTTCATCATAGGCAACTGCGAAAGCTTGCGACCCACACAGCAGGTCTTTTCGTTACTGCTTTTGGACTGCTTGTCTGAAAGTATTATACAAAAATCCCTATCCACAATGGAGGGCCTAGCTACTGTCGATTAAATTTGAGTCTTGTCAGTCATAGTGGCATTTAACTGAGGTGCTGGGAAAAATAATCGAAGGATCTGTCAAAGGCTTATGTGAACAAGCTGCTACATTCCGCCTCACTTTACTCATTGCATGTGTCAGCCAATTACCTAGGCTCGCCAAAACCCCTACTTTTTTCCTCAGTATGTGATATAAACATCTGAAGAGGGCTTAAGGATGACAGAGACAGACAGATGTCAACAATCTGTTAGGCTGGTCCGAAGAATAGCTACCTCCCATCTGCTCGGTGAATTCTACGACTGCATGCGTCGAGAGCACAAGTATCGTGAGATACGGCACGAAAGGTAAACTTTCCACTTCAATCTGGGCACACTTTGAGGTATGATGAACAGAAACAGCTCTCTCCCATCTGCAGCACTTTGCATTAGAATCCTAGAGAGACAACATAAGGTCCTTATTAGAGTCACGACTGATCTGTTAGCCACTTCATATAAAACTCTGGTGACATCCGAGTTACAGAAGTAAACCAAGGTAGACAGCCCCTGCTTAAAAAGTAACTCAGAGCTCATCAAATGACCACACATGTATTATACTGTATGAATGGCTGACTGTGTAAATAACAGACTGAATAAATTCTCATTTTCATGCCACGGGCAGAGATGTTCGAAATTTTAAGAAATATCTACGAATCTGTTCTATGTAGTCTTTTGCGCCTCAAAAGGGTGGACATGACAAGAAAGCTCGAACGTTTACCAGGAACCGTATAGCTGCTGGGAGCTCATCGACCCGCCTTGGATAAAATAGATAAGGACAGTGGGCTTTCGAGAAGATTACTCCCGTTTATTATCCATTGTCTTTTCCTCCTTTTCAAAGGTACTGCCTCGGGGAATGGCAGCAACACAGTGATGCTATTCTCTATGTTAGTATTACTCGAAAGGAGCGTAGAATTAACTAGAACCTACAATTTATGGATATTCAGTATGTTGTTAGCACATCTGATTAAGATCAAAGCGGCCTGCGTCACGAAATCTGCCCATCATTCGAACACTGGTCCGAAATATCTGCCAACGTCACAGTTATGCTGTACCTACCAGTATCAGCAGAATTTTATGAATTTTCAAACTTTCTATACCGGCTCAAATGTTCATGACCACAAATTCTGAGTTTTTCATGTTTTGGGTTGACATCAAACCAATCCTTACCTTCTAATAATGCTGATGTCTGTAATTCCCGGTGAAACTGAAATGCAAATAGGTATATTATGGCTCAAAATTTGGCTTTAACCCTATTCGAATAAAATCAAGTTTCATGCATGTACGAATAAGCCTAATTTTAGATTACTCACATTATATTTGTGCTATATTTGCGCTGCTGTCATTATTTCAACAATGGAATCAACTGCAATAGTCTGCCAATAAGGGTGAATGTAGGGCATTAAGAAGTGTGGAGGTGTAGTCTTTCCATTAAAAGTAACCAGGTTTCCGAGGGACAGAATGTCAGGGTTGGGGAAAAAAGTGGAGTTTGAAGACAATTCTTTTACATAATGTTGCCAAGTAAGGCGTTGCATCCTCTGCTTAAATTTATAGTCCGATGACGTAAATATTTGAACTCATTCATACATTCGTTGCGTTTTCTCGACTGTGTCGTTGTAATCTTACGTTATTGCTAGTTTGCATTATGTGCAAGCAAATACCTTGTTGGTGGTGGTTGCACTTAATTTACGGCATCGGTGAAGTTGAAATGGTTCTACTGCACTGGGAAAGTAGCTGTAAAGTAGTCTGTATACTTGCTGATGGTCCTAAGTCAACTGAAATGTAGAACACCATTTGACAACTAACTGTATTTTCTTTGTAGATCATCTATACTGCTCACACATGATTTTATTTGATGTTTGCAAGAGGTAGGCTGGAAGTCTTTGAGGAAGCTGGGTGATTGTGAACTAGCAACTTGAGGACCCATTTGGTATATGTATGGCAATGAAATCCTGTTGAACTCCAATGTAACTGTAGATCAGTGGGCCTTCAACTACAAGGCAAATAGAAGAGACAATACACGTGGCAAAGCACCCGAAAGAAGTGTATGGACAACTTCATAAATGCAACCTTGAAACTTTGTATATATGCTTGTATATGCTTTACTTTTCTGCTTAGTAAACATGTAGTGATTTTATCATTTTCTCTTCGTATAAATATAT